CTCCACAACTAGACTGAAGAACAAAAGGACAGCAACTTGTCTGTTCCCCGTCCCCCAATTTCCCAATAAAAATCTTTAAAAAATCTTAAAAAAAAAAAAGAAAAAGAAAGCCCTTCTGTTGAGGCTCAGTCCTAATGGACAGGCCGTCAGTTTGTAAGCTCATGTGCCCTCTGTTTTTGTGTTTTAGGCAGGTGGGCTCCACGACAGTCAGGCCTTCCGTAAACCACCGCTTCAGCGACGATGCTATAAGTTACAAGTCTGAACATTGGTGTCTATGGATCTGCTCTGACTCCTAGAGCCTGCTTATGGGGGAAGGTGAGTTGCTGTAAAGCATCTTTTGTTTGTTTTGTTTTAACTAAGAATGTATATGACAGTCAGACTCACCCTTGAAAATGAAGTGTGTTCCACCTGGTGCCATCTGCATTTTACCCGTTTCAGTCTGTGACGTGGTGTCTGCTGGGAGTCGTGCCAGGGAGAGAGACAATGAAAGGGGGGGTTAACGGAGAAAGGCAGTCGGCGCTGTGATGTGATAACGTGGGAGCCGCGTGCCATTGGCTCCTGAGAGTCACACTGCCTTGCGGTGGCGTTCGAAGGAGCTGGTCTGAGGCTGCGGGAGCAGGTCTGCGCGGAGGCGGAATGTTTCTCCACAGCTCTTTCCTTTGGATTTTGGAGGAATGTGGGAACCCTTAGAACTATTTTCTCCTAAGGGTTTCCTGTTTCTGCCCCTCGACCTTCACCCGGCCATTTTGTAAAGAATGCTGACCGGGGAAGCTGTTGTCAGTGGCTTTACTGGTTCCTGTAAGGGAGCACCAGGCGTACACAGGGCCGCATGCTGAGCACTGCACGCCAGCCTGGCCCTGCGGACAGTCCTGTGTGTGCTGGGTGTAGGAGCATGTGTGTGCACATGTGCAGGAATGTGTTGTGTGCACACACGTGTTCTGTGTGCTCCTTCATGGTCCTACACCCTGACGTCCAAATGCTGCATGCCAGGCCTCTCTGCCAGGCTCTGAGCCTGCAGGACTGATGCTCCCCAGCTCCATCATAGCTCATTTGTCCTGCATCTTACATTAGGAGGGCATTGCCAAAGTCTCTCCAGTACGAGGTCTGACAATTAAGTTCGTGAACCCATCCTAGAAAAAGTGCTACATAGCTCCTTGCTGAATATCACTACTGTCACCTTCAAAGTCCTCCCCTTGGGAAGCTATGCACCGACGCCAGTGCCTAGTTCACCCTTCAAAGCAATTCTGGAACTCTTTCCGGAATGGGCATCAGAGCTGTCGTCGTATCACGCTTGATGTCCTGAATGTCATCAAAATGTCTTTCTTTCAATATTTCCTTTATCTTCAGGTAAAGAAAGAAGTCATCAGGGGCCAGATCAGGTGATTAGGGAGCGCGTTCCAATGCAGTTATTTGTTTGCTGGATAAAAACTCCCTCACAGACAGTCGTGTGTATTATCGTGATGCAAGAGCCGTGAATTGTTGGCGAAAAGTTCAGGTTGTCTTAACTTTTTCACACAGCCTTTTCAGCACTTCCAAATAGTAAACTTGGTGAATTGTTTGTCCAGTTGGTACAAATTCATAATGAATAATCCCTCTGATGTCAAAAAAGGTTAGCAACGTTGTTGCAACAAGTTGGTGAGCTTCTCAGACCTTGTACATTCAAGAGTGCTTTACTCTCCAATGGTCATGACAGGGACACTGAGCATCTGCTGTCAGCTCTCTCACTTATTAATCCAGATCACAACCAAACTATCTGTAGGTTCTGAGTTAATGTACCTCCCAGGTGGTTGTCAAAGAAACATGTGCATCTTTAAAAAGTCACCAGACTTAGTAATGAGGGTCACTGGGCCCCTGGCCCGCTGACTCTGAGTTGTTCGCTGTTCCTCTGAGCACCAGCCCCTTGCCCACCCCGCCCTGATGTTGTCTGTCTGGTTTTGGTTTGTTTTTTAATTCCAGCTTAGCATTTTCATTCCCGCGGCTCTGACCCAGTTCCATAAGCCTGTGTCCTGTGCTGCTTTGGTCTTTGGTTTGTTCTTTCTCCCACCGAGGAAGGTTAAAAGCATTGGTACCTCAAGGCACCTGTGTGGCTGCGCGTCAGTGACGGGTCACGGCGGACAGCAGTTCTGCTCTGGGCTTGAACGGGAGCCAGAGGCAACAGCTCCTTTCACATGACTGGCACGTCCCCAGCTGTGGCCAAGAGCGAGGCCGGTTATGGAAACCAGAGCTGGGGCTGACCAGGGTTCTTTGGTCACTTGGGAGGAGGGGCTGGGAGCACCCCCAGGCCAGGCTGAGGCTCACCCCAGCCAGCAGCCCTCGCTGGGAACTGAGGGGCCCCCTGGCTGGGCTCCCTGCACCCCTCCCACACGCACCTGTGCTGGGGAGCCCTGCATTGCTTGTCGGTCTGCCCTCTGCCCAGTGCCCACATGCTCAATGGCCTGGGCATCTGCCCCATGTACGGCGCAAGACATGGCCACAGAGAACCCACCGCCATGGAGGAGATGACCAACCACTTGATCCAGCACATTCCAGGGAGCATGCGGCCACCAGCCTAGTGCTGGCCGACCGACCCCGGGAGGTGCAGTGCTCCCAGGCCTGCCTCCCCCACCCCACCCCCAAAACTGCCCACAGTCACGTCCTCAGTTCCCGCCCTGTCCTCTCAGCAGCATTCAGCTCAATGGCAGCTTGTCTGCCCCTGGCGCCCTGGCTGCCACTATCCCCCCGTTTTCCTTGACTTCGGGGCTATGCCACCTCGTCTCCTTTGTGGTCCCCGCACCCCTAGCGCCTCCTCTTCAGCTGGTGACCCTGGTCCCTCGCGTCCCCCCACACGCTGCTTCCTTTCCTCCTCAGCTCTTGAGGGTTTGCCTCCTTCCCATCTGCCTGCGCACAAGCAGGCATGTCCACTTGCAGTGACCATGCATCTCTCTGTCCCCTTGGCCTTGCTGTCGCCACTTGCCCACCTTGCACCAGGCCTGCCCCTGCCAGACCCCGACGTCAGTGCCCCCCCCACACACATTCTCTCAGTGCACTTGATACCGTCAGTCGCTCGGTGGTCAAGAGTGTGGGCCCTCGATGACCCAGGCATTATGACCACAAGCAGGCCATGTGTGACGGCTGCTCTTTCTGGAAGAATAAGGATGGGTCCTTTGCTGAGATCTGCTGGGAGGAGTGAACTGGCGACAGTGCCGGACACCCCGAGCAGGGGCCGGCTTACCGCTCGCTGCTAGCACCCTCCTGAACGCTAACGGTGGCGTCCAGGTCTCGGGCACCAATGACAGGCCCTGCGCGGGGTGCTGGGGATATACAGCTGGCTGAGTGTCTGTCACTGTGTCAGAGCTGCACGTGGGGGTGTGCTTTGACACAGAAATTTTATCCATAGATCTGTATTCCAAGGGAACCAGAGTGGGACAGGAAGAGGCACCCCAAAGATTGTTAAAACACTTTAATGGAACCACTCAGAATGCGGCACACAAGCATAGCAGATCAGTTACATTCTTAGGCATAAAAATGGGGGTTTGGTCACTATTATGTAGATTTAAATATGCTGAAATAGAAAAACATTTCGTATTTAATGTGAAGTCAGAAAACAGGACCATCATGGGTGGTTTGGTCCTATTTTTGTTAAAAGTACAGTAAAACATGCCTACTGGAAAAAAGTCTGAATAGGAAGACTTCAGAAAAGCTCACTGTCACTGGTGGTCTTTCTGGGTAATTACAGGTTAGTTTTTGCATTTTCTGCTCTTTTCTGTAATGCACATCCGGTAGTTGTATTATTTTTTGTTTTTTTCCTGTAAGGAACCATCAGGCTGCCTGGTCAGTGCAACCTGCGTGACCCCCTTTGTCTCTGCACCTTTGCTGGTGTTAGAAAGTCACTGCTCGTTCTGTGGGTGCTGCGGCGGCCAGCTCGGTGCCCCGGCAGCACACACAGCTGTCCTCATGGCCAGTGATGGCACTCTGCACCCATGTTTTTACCATTGCCTGCTTGTGTTATCATTTATCTGCGCCTGATTTCATGTGAGATGCTGAGATCAAGGTAACAACTCCATAAAAGTGGAGCTGGAGGGCAGCTTTCTCGTGCTTGGGGACAGAAGTGCCAGTCCTGGTGGGTGGACCAACGAGCATTCTGCGTGTCCTCTGGAGGTGCGGGGTCCCGTCCACCCTTCCACCCACGCTGCCCACATCAGAGCCCTAGCATCTGGGAGGCTGGCTGTCAGGGACGCACGGGCTCACCCATGTCAGAGCTTCTGTGTGCGGGTGGCTTCTAGGGCTGGACCCAGAAGCTCTGGATCACAGTGGAGCACTGGCAGTGGGGCCGTCTCAGGCGCCTGATCCTGGTGGGAATAGCCTCCCTTGCAGTCCCAGGCGGGAGGCCCGTCCACGGGCAGTTAGCTGACAACACAGTGATATTAAGAGCTGCGTTTTGATCAGTACTGGCCCTTCCTTTTCCAAGGGCTGGATGTCCCACGGGCATGCCGATTTGTGCGGTGGCCCCTTTTGGGGAAAGGAATCATTGAAGTGACAGCACGTCCATGCCAGGCACACCCTCCAACAGCATGAGGGGAGTTGGGCGAAAAGTAGGTCACATGTGCCTGGTCCCATGTCACGAGGTTTCCAACCTGAGGCCAATGGGATTTGTAGCCTCCTTCGGTTTAGAACAAAACACCACTCTAATTTTCTCCTTTCGCATTTCATCTTCTCTAAACGGGGAGAGTGACCATCTGTCTGATAGCCACATCCAGCCGGCCCTGCCCGACCTCCAGCCGCTTTGTTCTGAGGTAAGGGGTCCTGGGGGCTGGCCGAGGCTGCCCTGGCGAGGAGGACAGGCTGAATGCAGGGTGGGGACAGGTCGTGGCGATGTTAGGGGCCTTGCTGCAGTGCTTTCCTGGGGACAGGAAAGTGGAGGTGGTAGCGTGCTTACAGATTTAGACATTTAGGTGATGGCATGCCCATTAGGTCCCTACCTTAGTGATGCGGTTCCTTTCAAGGGTCAAGGTCAGCCCTTAACAACCTAACGTGAAAGTGTCATTATGGAGGAAAACGAACACGGAGCTTCACAGATGTTGGTTGTCGGTGATGTGGGGTAGGTGTGGGAATGTGATTCTCACCCATGGAGACGCGGGTCGCCCCCGGGCAGTGGGGCCCTGAGCGCCCAGGGTGGCGAGCACCTTTGGTCGAGAATGTTGACCTGTCAAGTGAACGGGTGAGCTGTTGGCATCCACTTGTATAAAAGCACCTTGAATGCCACATGTCAGAATGAGGCTAATACTTGTATATTATTACTGTATGGAGAACATGCCCTTTTGGACTTTGGTACTTAT